AACTGCAAAAATTAAAATTCATTCAGATTAGCATTTACAAGAAAAAAAAACCCTCTAATACGAAACTTCTTCAGAATGTGTCACTTCAAAAGAATGCCAAGCACTACTTTAAGAGGTGTAACTTCTTTTTAAATGGCATTTTTGCCTCTAAAAAAGGAATTTCTTGTGTTGCTGGAGAAGGTGTTGTACACAGAGTGCTGCTGCCAAGGCTGGGGGTTGCCTAGCAATGCTGGGAGGGGAGAGGGGAGAAAGCAATAACAACCAGAATTGTGGAGCCACAGCATCAAATTGGTCTGCAATACTTATCAGCTAAATGAGAGGAGCTGCAGGCTCCGCTCGGAGCTGATAAAATCTCCTGATTGCTCCCAAATCTCTCCCTTCTCCTTCTCTTCTCTTTCACACGCTCTGGGCGCGTTGGATTTCTCCTGTTTGGGTTATTCCCACCCCAAATCCTGCTCTGGCTGGGGCTGGGGGCAAACTCCAGGGTCCAACCCAACAAAAATCCCATAAAAACTGGGGCTGGGGGCAAACCCAGCAGGAATCCTCCAAAAACTGGNAAGTGATTGGCTTTTTTCACAGTGTGCCAGCCCCATAAATACACAAACCTTTGTAAAACACACTTTCACTGCTTGTGGAGTCCTCACAGCTTCTGAATTTTATGTGGGTTTCGTGTTGTGCTGATGTGCTGGCAGTGGAATGCGCGCTGCCCAGAAGAGAAATGATTTTACATTTCCATTAAAAGCCCTGGCTGTAAATAAACCCGTGGAACTTAGGCAGATATTCCTGGGAACATCTACAGCACTACATTAAAATGTCAGAATCTGTGTTAAACATTTGAAAAAGCAGCGGTGGATACGACACATTTAAATCTTAAATATATGCATATATTATGTGATAAAGATATTTTAGAGTATTTCACAAACCTCTGCAGAGCACTCAACAGTAATAGTGCAGTAACAGTAAACTATCAGCAATCGTTTAGCACAACAGCTGCCCTTTTATTGCAAAAGAAACCCAAACCCAAAACAAAAACAAGGCAAACAAAAAGAACCCGAAACTCCTGAGAGCTCCACCACAAGCAGAGCAGACAGGGAGTGCAGGGAGAGCTGCGAGTTCCTGCTAATGCTGAAATATCAGCTTTGGTCTGAGTGCTCATTCACAAGAAAGGGATTCAGGGGGAATTGTCAGGCTCAGGTTTGCACCTCGTGCCTCTCAATGGGCTTGGCTGCTGCTCCATCCCAAGATTTCCCAGTGGGAATTGGCTCCTGGTGCTGCTCCCCTGATAATAGAGATTAAAAAATTTTGCTCCCCAAAAAATTCCAGGTAGGAATTGGCTCCCCCAGCTCCCTCTGCTGCTCCCCTCTCTATCCCGAGATTTCCAAGTGGGAATGGGCTCTCCCAGCTCCTGCTTCCCTCTCCATCCCAAGGTTTCCAGGTGGAAATTGGTTCCTCTCTCCATCCCCAGGTGGGAATTGACTCCACCAGCTCCTGCTCCCCTCTGCACCCCAAGTTTTCCAGGTGGGAATTGGCTCCTACTCCTGCTCCTCTCTCCATCCCCAAGATTTCCAGGTGGGAATTGCCTCTCCCAGCTCCCCCAGCTCCTGCTCCCTTCTCCATCCCAAAATTGCCAGGTGGGAATTGGCTCCTGCTGCTGCTCCCCTCTCCATCCCAAGTTTTCCAGGTGGGAATTTTCTCCCCCATCTCCTGCTCTCCTTTCCATCCCCAGGTTTCCAAGCGGGAATTGGCTCCCCCAGCTCCTCCCTGTAGGTACAAAGGCCCTCAATATGGTTCAATGAATTCAGGCAGAGTCCAACAAGCTAAAGGTTGGGTTTGGGTTTATTCATTTGAAATCCTGTGGTTTATAAATATTTATATCTATTATCAGGGTTGTTTGGCAGTTTAGTACTAGGGCAGGGACATTTCTGAGGGGTGGGTGACAGAATTTATGAAACCCCCCGGGGCAGCTTTAGCCCCTTTTCACAGCACCCTCAGTCTCACCCCTGCAGATTTGAGATGTCCCTTTTCCACAGCACCCCTGTAGATTTCAGATTTCCCCTTTCTACATCACCCCTGCTCGTTTCAGGTATCCCCTTTCCATATTCACACTGGCACATTTCAGATTTCCCCTTTCTCCATCACCTCTGCAGATGTCCCCTTTTCACATCACACCTGCAGATTTGAGATTTCCCCTTTCCATGTCACACCTGCAGATTTCCCCTTTCCCCACCACCCCTGCAGATTTCAGGTGTCCCCTTTCCGTATTCACACCTGAGGTTTCAGATTTCCCCTTTCCCCATCACACCTGCACATTTCAGATTTCCCTTTTCCACATCACCCCTGCAGATTTCTGGTGTTCCCTTTCCCCATCACTCCTGCAGATTTCCCCTTTCTACACCACACCTGCACATTTCGGATTTCCCTTTTCCACATCACCCCTGCAGATTTAAGGTGTTCCCTTTCCATATTCACACCTGCACATTTCAGATTTCCCCTTTCCCCATCACACCCAGGCCTCAAGGAGCTGACATCCACTCCTGGAGCTTCACTCCAGTGCAGGGAATTGCAGCTCCCTGTCCAGTCAAAGGAACATTTAAAACCTGATTTTCAAGCCCACTGAATGAAACAAGAACAAGCCCTGACAGCTGAGAAATCTGAACGCCATTTGTCACCGATGCAGCAGTGACACTCCCCAGCACCCCACCACACCTGCCTGAAGGATTACCAGCCACCTCAACACTTCTTTTTGTGCTGCTGCACCCGGCAGAATTAATATTTTACACTCTGAGGCACCAATAAGGCCGAACACACAGCTCAGAGATTATCCCAAACTTCATTAAATGGGTGTTGACCAAGGATTTTCCGGGTTACAGCTCTGACAGCAGCCCCAGGGCTGGGGGGAAGCAGGAGCTGGGAGGAATTACCAGCGAGGAGGGTGGAATTCATTGTGTTTGCCGCTGCTGCAGGACCTGTCAGTCACCCTGATTCCTCCTGAGCTGCTCAGGGTGACGGAGCAGAGCTGTCCCTGCTCCTCATTGCGAGGAAACGCTCCTGTCACCAACTCCAGCTCAGCTCAGAGAGGAAACCCCTCTGGCACTGTGGTACCTGCTGGGTCTTTAGGAAAAAGGAGGCGATGATGGATTTGACTTTGTGTTTTTAGAAAGTTACGTCTTTCTCCCTGAGATATAATTATTATTATTATCCTAAATATGTCCCTGAGGGTCCCTCAGGAGCGCACCCTGAGCCAAAGGACACAATTCCTCAGTTTCTCCCTGCAGAAGCTGCTGAGGGACTGGGGGAGCTCACCCTGAGCCAAAGGACACAATTCCTGCACAAAATTCCTGCACGCAATTCCTAAATATCTCCCTGAGATATTATTATTATTATTATTATTATTATTATTACCATCCTAAATATCTCCTTGAGGGCCCCACACAATTCCTGCACACAGTTCTGAAATATCTCCCTTCAGAGGGGCTGCTGAGGGATTGGAGGAGCTCACCCTTAGCCAAAGGACACAATTCCTGCACAAAATTCCTGCACACAATTCCTAAATATCTCCCTGAGATATTATGGTGGTTGTTATTATTATTATTATTATTATTATTATTATTATTATTATTATTCTAAATATATCCCTGAGGGTCCCTCAGGAGCACATGCCAAGCCAAGGACACAATTCCTGCACACAATTCCTGCACACAATTCCTCAATATCTCCCTGAGATATAATTATTATTATTATTATTGTTGTTATCATTATTATCCTAAATATCTCCCTGAGGGTCCCTCATTAGCACAACCTGAGCCAGGGACACAATTCCTGCGCACAAGTCCTAAATATCTCCCTAAGATATTATTATTATTATTATTATTATTATTATTATTNCCCGAGCTGTGCTGGGAAATCACAGCCACCCTCAAACCACTGCAGTGCCTTCAGCCCCTTCCCAGAGTGCTTTCACAACAAAACACCGTCCCAACAAAACACCATCCCAACAAAACACCATCCCAACAAAACACCATTCCAATAAAATACCATCACAATAAAACACCATCACAACTTCCAGTGTTGTACTCCCTAAAGCTGATGCCAATTTCCACCTTGTCAATCTAAATCCCTTCAGGCTTTATTCAGTATGAGTTTTGTAAGAAAGAACAAAAATATTGTCAGATTTTGGAGAAGCTGGGAACTCCCAGATTCCCAGCAAGGCTCCAGCAGCCCTGGAGCGGAGGGGGAGCAGCAGCCGAGCCCGTGAGGATCCCCCAGCTGGAGAACTCCCAGTGACCCCGAGTTATTCCACTGAATTTGCTATTTAGGGCAAGGCACAGAGGAGGAAATCCCAGCCCCACAACACCCAGGGCGGATTTCCCCTGGCAGGTTGTGTCTGGAATGCGTGATCTGGATTTTTTTTATTGGGTGTCTGGAATGTGTGATCTGGATTTTTTTTATTGGGTGTCAGGGAGGTTTTGAGGCTGGGAGTGGCTCCCTCCCCATGGAAACCTCTCACACAGGACGCAAAATAAAATGACATGGACACTGGAATTTCCAAGGTAAAGAGAAAGGAAGTTTATTTTCTGACTCCATCATTTATAGATTTCCAAAAGTGACAGTGGATTGGAGGTGACAGTGCCACCTCCCCAATGACACTGAACAAGCCAACAGTCCATCAAATTTCTCCTCCTCCAGAAAAAAATGTAAAACAATAATTATTTACATAAAAATGCGTGAGAAAGTTCTTTACAAGAGTGTGAACATCAGAAGGCTCAGAAGAACTTGGAAGAACCAAGAACACATGGCCAGGTAAACCCAGGTTCATCTTTTCCCTTTGACATTTTCCTTTGGAAATCCAGCCAGGTAAACCCAGGTTCATCTTTTCCCTTTGACATTTTCCTTTGGAAATCCAACCAGGTAAACCCAGGTGAATCTTTTCCCTTCAGGATTTTCCTTTGGAAATCCAACCAGGTAAACCCAGGTGNCACCTGGGGTCAGCCCCTGCTCACCTGTGGCCTCGTCCAGGCTCTCGTGGGACACGTGCTCGTTCTGGTGCACCCACTCGCCGTTGCACTTGAAGAAGATCTGCATGGCGGGCACGGCCCTGCAGCGCAGCACGATGGGGTTGCTCTTGATGATGTAGGAATCGTCGGGCTCCTCCAGGAAATGGGGCAGGGTCCCCGGCGCCGAGGGCAGGGACTCGGGCAGGGCCTCGCTGTTCTCATGTCCTGAAAGGCAAACAGAGGAAAAATCCCATTTTTCACGGTTCTTCTGGCATCTCGTTTTATTGTGGGAGGGGAAAATCAACTTTGGGGTTTATTTAGGATTGGTTTTCCTCTGGGTTTTATTTCAGATCGGCTTTATTCTGAGTTTTATTTGGGATTGGTTTTCCTCCAGATCGATTTTACTCTGGGTTTTATTTAAGATCCGTTTTACTCTGGGTTTTCTTTAGGATGGGTTTTACTCCAGGTTTATTTAGGATCGGTTTTCCTCCAGGTTTTATTTAGGAGGAATTTTACTCCGAGTTTTATTTAGGATCAGTTTTATTCTGTGTTTTATTTAGCATTGGTTTTTCTCAGGATCGGTTTTCCTCCGGGTTTTATTTAGGGTGGGTTTTCCTCCGGGTTTTATTTAGGATCGATTTTACTCCTGGTTTTTTTAGGATCTGTTTTAGTCCAGGAGCACTTGCAGAGCTGCCCGGTTGGGCTTTGAAAGGACGTGCACACACAGAGAGAACAAAAATCAAATATTGAAGTGTAAAGGATGCCAAATGCCACAAAACAGCCCCAAACCCGCCAGAAAACAGGTGGGGACCTGAGGGTTCAGAAGCTGCAGGATGTGAAGGGATTTTTCAGCCCTTTTTCACATCCTCAGCTGCCATCAGGGCTCAATTCTCAATTCCCAGGTCCCTCAGTTCCCGAATTCCCGAGGCCCTGGAGCAGAGGCTTTGCCTTTGGAACAGCTCCCACCCAGTCCAACCCTCCCTGCTGCTGTCAAACCCAGGAAATTCCCACTGATCTCCAAAAATGCTGAATTAATTTCAGCACTTTGTCGGTTTTTGGCGGAAATTCAGAGGAAAGCNGCAATCCTTGGATGGGGGAATCCATCAGGACTGGCAATCCTTGGATGCCAGAATTCACCAGGATTGGCATTTCTAGGATACAAGAATTCACCAGGACTGGCATGCCTTGGATGCAAGAATTAATCACAACTGGCAATCCTTGGATGCAGGAATTCATCACCATTGGCATTCCTTGGATACAAGAATTCATTAGGATTGGCATTTCTTGGATGCAAGGATTCATCACAATTGGCATTCCTTGGATTCAAGAATCTACCAGGACTGAAGAAGTTGACACTGACAGAATCCTTTGTTTGAATAGAATTTATGCATCATGTATGAGGTGTATGAATATGCAACAGGCTGTTGTTTTTAACAGTTAATCCTGGGTCCTTTTTGGGCTTATTTTGCCCAGAAAGGGGTACCTGGACCATCCATAACTCTTTGTTTTTATTGCCTCGTATTGTCCTAATCCAAATAATCCAAATTATCATTACTCTAATTATATTCCTATTTTTATAACAATTTTATTACTATTATAACAATTTTATTACTATTAAACTTTTAAATTTTTAAAAAACCCAAGTGATTGGCGCTTTCCCCACTGCTGGAGGATGTTCCTTCAGGATCCCTCGTTGTGCTCCCAGTGCCTCGGGCTCCACGGTGGGGATTTACTGACTTCATTCCCTGCCTTGCTCACAGCTGATGAAATACAGCCCTGGCACTGCATTTTCCAAAACGCATTCAGAATTATCTGAGCAAGCTGCTGCCTGCACAAAGATGCTCACGGTGCCTGCACGCTCCTTTCCATGATTCTTTGTTAATGTTGATTTTTTCCCCCCTTCAGACAACCAATTTCTTTTCCAGTGCTCCCTTTAAGAAGGCAATCATTAACAGCCGGGCTGCTCTTGTGCCTACAAATGCCTTTATTAGGGTGAAAAATGGAGCAGGATCCCTTTGCTCTGCCTTCCTCACTAGCACAAAGAAATACTCACCTGCTTCTTGGGAGAAATATAAAGTGCTGCAACACTGTGGACTTGACTCACAATTCAGAAATA